TGCCCGTACTTCATCCTTGGAAATCATCTCTATCACTTGCAGAAATGGTAAATGCTGCTGTCTCTGCAGCTTCTATGCAGATACCGGTGAATGGAGACAGAGAAGTTAAGACTAAGAGCAGAGTTTGCATTTTGCGGCTATCGTGGGAATAATATACTGTGAATAAGAGACTCTAGCGGTGACGAGGTTCTAGTCTCTTGCAAGTAGTTCACATTCAAAACATCAATTAAAGAAGTCTTATATTCAAATATTGATTTATCCATGCTCAACAACTGTAATCAATCAATTTAACTCAATAAAAAACATTCCATTTATTTCAAAAAAATTTCTTCCATCTGAACAATGGATTTATTGAGATGAAGAAAAATACAATGTTCATTTCAGTGCGCATGGTAAAAATAAAGTAGTTATATTTCGGATCCTTGGGGACAGGAAGTGAGTATTATGAGCGGCCAATTTCATACGAAAGAAAAGTAAACGTTTCCAATTTCCGTGATACTGTTTGGACAAGCTTTTTTGAAACATCGAGAAAAAGAAGCTGATGAGGATTAGTCGATCTCTCTACTATAATTGTATATACGGAGAGGAAGACAACTGTCCACGAAAATACCTGGAGATGAAAGTTGCACAGTGTGATACTGACGGCGGTTTGCCTCTCTTTCTCTTATGACAAACAAGGATTGTTGAGAACAAACCCAACAAGAGACGTGTAGAGACGGGAGCTATCCGGCGATTGTTGAAGACCACCACTTCCCCTTGCTCGCTTACTTACCAGTGTGGCTATCCTGTCCACAACTATTATTTTTTTTTAACATGGTTTCTGTTACATTGCTTGTTCTGAAAGCTGAGAGATTTTTTTTTTTTGTTATCTTTATCCGTTGCTCATTCTCTCATTCTTCTAACGAGTTTCGTCAGCTAAGCGATAACGTCTCTGCTGTGCTAGTATCTATTTATTTTCCCTTCGTTCTTTCTGCTCTTCTTAGCGCTTGATACCGTCATTGTGGCTTGTATAAAGACAAAAGACTTATGTTAATGAATGTAGGTAAGGCTTTTGATGGAATTATTATCGTCTTGCTTTTTTATTTTTTTCTTATTTTAAATTAACACTGAAAAAGTTTTTTTTTAATTAAGTCTTACTTGGAATTTTTATTTCAAGATATAAGAATTTAAATATTCCTTCGAATTTAATTCATAAATTGAATTTTATCTTCTTTCTTTGAAGCTGTAAATTATTAATAGAATTTTTATTGACCACAAGTTGGAGTTTTTAGTTTGAAGATACATACTTTTTTGAAAAAAAACTTCATTTTTAAGTTTGAGTAATACACCGATTTCCGATGCGTCTTTCGTAAACACGACAAACTTCTTTAAGAAGTTAAGTTACATAAAAAGTCAAGATTTACATTGAGAATTTTTTATGACTCGGTGGATTTTACTTCGATTTACTATTTGAAAGTAAGAATGAAGGTTGAGTGAGATGACGAATAAAAAAGGGAAGGGGAGGAAAAAAAGGAGTACAGATTGTTCAAGAGACTTCTTTCCGTTTTCGAGGAGGGTTACAACGAACTTGCAATCGTAACATTCAACCTTCTACTCTATAGTAGTTACTCCCTTTAGAATATCTAATCTATAGAGTTTGAACGAAAAGGAATAAAATATAAATTGAAACAACTTCCTCTTTTTTATCATTGTCGACAATGCTTTTCCATTTTACTTCCTTTTTACCCAAAGAGCTGACAATTGAAAAGAATCTTCAAGCTTCTAAATTTACCTAAGAACTACATATTTTGGATTTGTTTAAGGTAATTTTAACTCATTACTCTGCCAAGTTGGAGCACTAAATTTTAATAAAATTAACTTAAAATTGAAATTAATCAAAAACTTATCATCTACATCTGCTGCATAAAATTGCAACTATTTCGTAGGGAAAATGATTTTATATTAAAAACATTTTTTTTGTGATATCTTCATATAAATTATTTCTTTGCTGTGCTCTACTTTTCCTACTCGTTTAAAGACTTTATTAAGTATATTTTTGTATTAAATAAAAAGTAATAATAATAATATGATGATTATTGTCTGATAAATATCTCTGAGAGAATAAGTATATATATTTTATACACGAAATCTCTTATTATGTATGTAATCTCACGAAGTAATATCGACTTTTACGACAGTCATGTCTAGGGATAAGCAACGAGGCCAGATGTCGTTGAGGGGTTGCACTCGGCTGGATGGAAAAATGATAAAGTCCACTGTACTACGTCCTATACGTCCTTATTTCTCATACTGGTAGTGTAATATAAAAGAGAGTATATTTTAATTTCACATGCTCGTAGTAGCAGCCACGTCAGATCCAATTTCCAATGGATCGTGCTCTTGTTCGTAGCGTGAAATCAAACTGGGTTCTGATTTTTCTTCCAATCTCTATCATCTACTATCACACGTCTTTCCACTGTTATCTCTGTCTGTCTTGTGCTTGTCTCATTTGACACCTTTTTTACATTCACTTTTTTTCATTTAAAAATATTTTTATTTGATATAATACAATTTAGCGATCAAACATACCCAATCTTAATAATATTCAACGAAGTATCATTTATATTTACCATTTTTTTATTCCTCATGCAGCTTAATAATAAAAAGATACTAATAAATAATACAGTGGTTTTCGAAATTATTTTATTCACAAGAGATAGAAGTAAAAAATCGAATAAAATCTTGAATAGCAAGATCTCCAATATCCTTGCTTGTTTTGTTCTTTTCTTTTTTTTAAAGTAGAGATAATCTTATTTTGCATACACTCTTCTTTTATAGAATTGCTCTTATAATAAAATAGATCGTAATAGAACTTCTATCATTATTCTATACCATTAAATAAATACTTTATAATTAAATCCTATAATATGATAAAACTTTGTTCAAATAAAACTGTTGTACGTTATGACTCTCTATTAAATAAAAAAAAGAAAAGTGGAAAATATTTTAATTTTAATTGAATTACTTTTTCAATTAATTTTAAAATTTTTATTTTTTAAATTTTAATATTTAAATACATGTCATAATGACGTAAATATTTTTTATTTAATTATAGAGGAGTTTGATAATGTTCATTATAATTTTTTTTGAATTATAATTATTATGATTATCGATACTGACAGGTCTTTAATTTAAATTGAACTTAGTATTGCCACTTAAGCTGAAGAGGGCGCCACTAAAGGACGCACACGCTGCTGGCGGCGTTCCCGCTGAATGACGTCATTAAATGGCGTCTACCCAAGCGCGACTGACGCCGTTGTGTATCGTGCTAGTATTTTTTTGATAAATAATGATATAATAAGCTAAATTTCCTCAAAATAACCATATAAATACTTTACTTGAATTATGTTCGTTCTTTTAAGAGTCAATTGAACAATAGTTATGTCTTTTTATCAGTAATTTACATGCAATGCTCAGAACACATTATGCCGCCAAACATCACCAAGAGTCTCCGTGATTGTTTATGTAGGACAAGTAAATAAATGCAATTTTCTATTTGAAGAAAGATGAAAAATTATTCTACTTCGACACAGAATAATAGAGATCAATAATTCAGATGAAATTCATTGTTTAATAAGTATACGCTAAATTTGGGAAATGAATTTTGGAAAGATAGAACAGATCATGGAAAGTGTGTCGAGGTCACGCTACAACAAAGATCTACGTGTTAGTATATTTTGATTTATGATAATTAAAATTACTTTTATTTAATTTTCGAAATTAATTTATCCCAAGTTTTATATTTATTAATTAATGCACGTGTTTCAATATAGTTTTTGAAGTCTTAGGGAATCTAAAAAATGTATTTTCTCATATTTTTATAATTTATAAAAATATTTTATCTTTTGATGAGATATTACTCATAAATGGATGACAAAATATGATGGTTATGTAAGTTTATTATTTTTCAAGAAACTCGTATGTCAACGACCTACAGCTTGGTCAACGATCGATGGACTCGAACTCATCTTAGGAGGTCAATTGTGTAGTATTGTTTACATAGACATTATATAAAATGAGAAGAAAATATGAAAACAATAAATATTGCGCAAGAGGAAAATTACAATAAATACTTAATTTTTCCTAAATTGTTAATGACTTCTTGTCTACTATAAGAGATTTTAACTCTATACAAACTTGTCAAGTCTAGATTCATCTTATAAATTTAGGATAAGTAAAAATGCTCCTTAACTTCTTTCGAAGTATTTTTAAAGAGCTTGTTTGTTGTAAGAGGCTTGCTATAGCAGTACTAAGATTTATTTAGAGAACTTATCAAGTTTCTTCAATGTAGATATAAATTGATACAATTGTATCTTGAAAGAGAATTCTCGTTATTTTTCTTTAAAAAACTCTGAATTTTGTAAGTTCCTAAAAATATAGGTGATTCGAATTCATATTTCAAAAATATAAATGAAACTTTTGTTTCAAAAAGATTTACTATTACTTTTGTAAGTAAAGGTGAAAAATTAGTGATTAGTTATTTGATTAGAGCAAATTAAATATTTAAATTTAAATCGAATAACAGGATAAATTAATTTACGTACACATATAGATTGTTTGATACTCAAATCTGCTTTGCTATGCAATGCAGTTTAATAAAAATTAAATGAATCGAATTCGTATTAGGAAGTGTTAAAATTCGAACAGGAATAGCAAGTGGAATTCAATGTTTAATGTAAGATAAAGTCAACGTCTTGCTTCGAAGTTCCGACACCAAAGTTACGACTATTGGATGAAAGACAAAGCCAAATAGCTAAGAAGGATCAAAGATCAGCCAGTTTACAAGAGCAATACATACCACCTGGTTTATCAAACTTGCAATGCTTCCGTGTATATCTTTCTTAATCTCATTCCTTATTTTCATGCATAAAATAGGGAGAATTAAATAATAATTATAACACGATCATCAAAGATTATACCACATTGAAAGTATTCTAACATTTAAATTTTTTCTTTTTCAGTGGCCTGCTCGACAGTCACAGTGACTAAATGTCAAGTAGCTTTAAAGACATTACAAGCATTTTCGTTCTTCCGGCCTACATGTTTATGCAAGGAGCCTCATGTAGATCCTGAATGCAACAGCTTCCAAAATTTTCTCTTTGATCATCCATGCATCTATGTCATGAAAAAAGGTGAAAGAATTATCATTGTAAAACAGTATTTCTATGTTGTTGGTATTAAAATTTTTCTAGCATAGATTTTTATTCTTTTTATCGTTGTATTTAAATAACCTCAAAGCATTCTGAACACAACGATATTTTGCATAGATTTAATAAAAATTATTTTAATAATAAGAAAATGTTATACAATTCTATATATCATTTTTTTAATCTTTTAATTATTTTTAATTTATTTAATTTCTTTATTTCAAGTAAACATCATTAGTAAAATAAATCTTGATAGAACTAAATATAAATTATTTTCTGGAGAAAATGATTATTGAATGATTAAATGAAATCGTAATGGATGATCTCTTATTCATTGTTGCATGTATATGAGTTTCAGTACCGGTATTTAAATATTTCTATTGATGTGAATTAAATAGAAATCTGTTAGAAATCTCACGCTTTGTTAACAACTAGAAATAAAAGCTTTTAATCTGCTTTTCGAAATACGAATATACTCCGTGTGTGAATAGCAAATTGTACCTAAATGCTTTGAATATTGTCTGTATACTATCTATTTATTTCATGAGCGTTTAATCTATTGATATCGTAAAATTAAACTGAATACATTATTCACTAATCTGTATCAATAATATATTATAAACTGTATCACCGCTATTTGTATGAAATTGTATGAAATTTCCATCATTTGTTCTTGATATTAATATTTTTTTTTGCTCTTTTACTTATTGTTTTAAATTACAAAAGTTTTTCATTCATTTATTTGTGATTGAAAAAATTGTTTTTCTTTTTACAATAATCCAAAAACGAATGTTTGAAAGATTAAAAACCTTTTCGCTACTTCTACTTTTTATTTGAATATAAATCGAAAACTGTACTTTTACAAAACCTGTTTTCTCTATGACAAGCAAACTGATAAAAATATAACAGGACTAAGATAAATTTTTTTTTCAGTTTTATAAATTTTTTGTACTCTAGTTAATATTATTTTGTACATATTTTTTTTTTATCAGAATTCTTGTAAATATCCGGCAAATAGTCGATTTGTTTTTAAACTTTTTTTTTCTTGTTTGGTATTTTAACAATAGGTTTGAATGTAGTTTAAACTTGTACAATTTTTCTATTTTACACTGGAAGAAAAAATATTCTCATTGTTTCACTAAATTTGAGCCATTTTTTTAGGTAATTCTTTTCTTTTCATTGAAATTTCTTGACACTATTATTTAAATTCTTAACTGAACTCTTAGCAAATAAAAAAATGGCTCATTATAACTTTAGTACTATGCACTTATTGTTTATTTATAATGGTCTGCCTCAATTACAGATAAGAATCCTTATCCAGAGGACGCGTTGATGACTTGTAACCATGCCTTAAGTGTTTGTCAACGAGTGATACCATGCTTTAAACTTTACGAGGACTTCAAAAATAATTGTAAAATACGAGATGGCAAATGTAAAATGGAGAGTCGGTGAGTAATACATAATAACTTGATATAATAAATAACACATGCTGATATGAAAAATCTTAACAAAACAAAAAATTGAAAATTGGTGCTTGTCTAAAAGATCCGTCACTCTTTCATCGGTAGATCATGTATAGATAAATGTATTATAGTCCTTTCAAATCCGGATCTTCAGCTTTACAAGTTTAATAAAAATTCAATTTGCCTCTGTTTTATGTATATGACAGTAAACTTTTTTCATTTTCCCTCGAGTTTTTACATATATGTAAAATTTTCATGAGCAACTTTAATTAAAATATTCAAAAGGAATATATTTTTTTTTCATGGTATTTAAACTATTCAATTAATTCTTTAGAGAAAAATGATAAAAAATGAGTGTTGGTTTTGAGATAAAATCGCATTAAATGAAGAGAAAAGCGGAGAAAATAGCAAAACCGCGAGCTTGCAAGTAAATGTACTTTAAATATGTACGGTATGTTTCGTTTGCTTTGGATATACGATATAATATGAAACTAAATTTAAGTACTTCCGCAAGTTTCACTGAAGTCTTAAGGCGAGTAGATTGAACCTTCTCTTAGGTTCTGTATTAGATACATGTATATTACATAAATAATGTAAGATTGTGAAAAAATCTTTACTTTTCTGTTTTAATTTTTTAAATTTATTTTAGCATCCACCGTACTTTAATTCTTGAATTTTACTACAGTATTCTCGCTGACGTATTAAATGAAAATTAAAAGTGACAAGTATTGTGTACTTACTTAGGATTTTATTTTTATTTCGTTAGCTTTTAACCACTGGAAATATAGATTGTGTTATTTTCAGTAATGAAAACGAACAAAAATAAATCACTCAGTACAATTGATTAGATAACATCAATTTTTACTCTTTTACATAAAACAGAATAATAGACTTATTCCGTTGTTTTGTTGGGTTGCACAAATTTTTAGTATAGCATATGAGGTATACATCGTTATTGTTAATTGTTTTGAAATATATTTATAATAAATTATAGCCTCAAATATTGTATTAATTAAAGCAAAAGATAATGAGAAGTTTTTCCCTTCCAATTACTGTTGATGCATTTGGAGATATTAGCAAAATCTACTGGTGGAAATTCAAAGAATCAACCAATTTGAATGCTTATTACAGATAATGAGGAACGCGTTCTATTTATTTATACATAACATTATGGATAAAAGAATCTCTCCAATACATGAAACTTTCTTATTAATTTTATCATAATAAAAGTATTAATTTTTTTTTTGAACGTTACAAATTCATATGAAAGTAAACCGGTTTAGGTCAAGTTTTGTTAGTAAATATTCAATAACCAGATTATTCTATTAATTGATGTATCTGGTGGTTCGCATTTCCGAATATTATTTACGTTAAATTTACTCCATGTATTGTCCACTAAATTCTCACCAATACATTGTCATCGCTCCATTTTCGTTATCCTTTCCAATCCCTTCGTGTTTTCATACTGGGATTCTCACACTAACGCCGTTTTCACACTGTATATTCATATAGCATTCGAGTCTGTCGGGCTAATTTCTGGTGTGAATTCGGCTTAGCTATTACGGTCCGGTTGTTGAGGGAAAATTCATGACGAAACAATCGGACGAACGAGAAAACTGCATCAACCTCCTGTGAATTCACACTAATTGTATTCTCGTTCTCTCCCTATCTTTAACTGTAGCAGTTTATTCTCTTCAACTTGTCACGTAAATTTAGCAATCCGGGAAATTGGAAAAAATACCAGCTTTTAAAGTTATTTTTACTATTTTTTTCCTATCAAAAATTATAAGTATTATAAAAATGTTTAAAAATACATTAATATGAAGAATTCTGAATAACAAGCTTACGATATTGCTATGAAAAATTTCGATATTCATAGCGTGTATTCGAAAGCTGGAAAAAAGTTGACATGACTTTTCCGTGCATCTTTTCCTCTAGCGATTTCAATAAATATCTATGTATGTAACAAGCTATTATATATTTATCTGATAACATAGTTTTCAATCAGTTATTTTTTGCTGTCATTAAATTATTATTTTTACCCTCGGTGAATAATGAATCATATCTTCATTATCCTTTATATAATTCCAACCATGAACTCTTGACAATCGATTAACAATAAACGTAGTTTGTTATTTAACTATACTCGTAAATTCGATAGGTCAGTTAAGTTCAAGGTTGATTATTTCATGAATTTCAAATAGATTTTTAGTACATACTTCATTTAATTTACTTGAAATATATACATACTTGTTTCAATTTTTACTACAAAAATTATATTTCCCACATGTTCAGCTTTCCAAACTTTTAATTAAAATATATTTTAACGTACGTATAGCACTTGAGTTCGTTTCATAAATCTTATAATTTCATAAATATTTGTATAACATTACAGACTCAGTATTTTATTCATGACGTTCATAATATTCGTAGCAATATTTTACAAGAGTTTGTTATTTAAAAAATAATTAGACATCCATAAATTAAAATTCGTATAACACTCTTATTTTACTATTAATGAAGATAATATTAGCAGATAAAATTAGCAAAGAGTCGATTAAAATTTCATTTATATAATACAAATGAATAATTTAAATCATCTTTTAAAAGCTATCATGATAAAATGATTTAAAGAGTCATATTAAAGTCATCGAATTGAATTGAATTTCGTTTGAGATACAATTAGAAACGTAATTGATTTTTTTAATCTTATAATAGCTAGAGTTTGAAAGATATTGACAACAGAATTTGAATTAGTTGTTGATAGGGAATCCACTAACATGGTAAACTGAAAACCAGAGATTTGTACAGTCATAAACTGTTAGTAGTGTAAGAGGGAATTCGGTTTTGTTAGGCTCTGAATCGACGAACTAACCCAAGAGATTGTTTCAGAGAGAATTAGTGGTGTAGTGATTCCATCGGAGTTGATATCCAACGCAGTGGCTTTTCGCTATGGAATCGACAAACACCGATTGGTAGTGGTTACAACCCACCCTGAAACCAATGATTCTGACTTCGACCGTTCCTCCCAGCTATTGTTTCCTCTCAGTGACAATGACTTCCAGACCTGCTAAACTGAGATACGCTTAAGCTAATCCTAAAACTATATTCTCTTCATTAAGACTGCATTTTTCTTGTTCTGGAAACGCATTGATTACGTTGATTATTCCATCAATGAAGTTGAGATACATAAATTAATATTGTAGAACCAGAGATATAAATATTATTAGAATAACAAGAATATTTTGCTCCTTATTCTGTTAGCTTTTTATCCTCGGAAGTGAAATACATTATTTAGTTACAAATTTCTTAAATGTCTTTAAAAAGTTTTCATTAGTAATGAAAATTGACAGTTTACATTTTTAGTAGACTCTGACATAAATTTCAACATTTTAATGTAAATAAATAAGTATTTTAATAATTAATAATATAATTCAATTTCGAAAATATCTTTAGCATCTGATACCATCGAAGTTTATTCCATATCAAATACTGAATTTATATAAAGTCCTCGATCTTCTCTTATGATCTGGTGGGTTTACTGTAACTTCTAATTCATGTCTACTCGTGAAAACTGGATCACAACGAGCACCCTCTTCAACTTACCCACTTGAAATCCATTACAATAATGACCCTTGACCGGGCAAACATTCTGCAAAAATCGAACATAAAGTTCTATTTTTATTACTGATATTTTTGATGGTGTTCGTTATTCATGTAATCATAATTTGACGTTTGAATGATTTAATCGAGTTGTTTCATTGAATGTATTCGAGAAAAATTTATCTTTATTGTTCGATTTCAATTTCACTTGGATCATCTATATTTTTATTTCACCTTTGAGTAATAGATCTAATATGTCTATTGTCTATTGTCTATTTTTATTTTTATGTTTCACTTTTAGTGATAAATATTTTAATGACTTATTTTAATCCTAGACAGTATGGTTTTTAATTGGGTCAATTTATTTTTCACATGAATAGAGAACTTGTAATTTTTCATATATATCTATATTTTGAAGTCTTCAATTGGGTTGAAATAATTTATGAATTTTTTTTATCTGAACTGACTTATTGTATGGCTACAAATATGATTGAAAAATATTTACGGATTAATAAAATATTACATAAGATTATTGACAGTTCATGTCAACTTAAAATAATTTGTTCTGTCTGCATAATAAACATCTCTTTGTAAGATATTTAAATAATATTGATTTTCGAATCTAATATCAAATCTGAATATTTATTCAATTGCTTTAATCACAAATCCATTTCTCCTAGGAAAAAATCTGATCTTCGACAAAGGTAAACAGCAATACCCAGGAATCCTCCATTAGTATTTCTTTGACTAATGAATCAACCAATAACTATCACAGCAGAATTATCGAACGGCTAAGAGCTCTTTGATATATTTACTAGAGAAGCGAGATATTTGCGGCTTTTGAGGTCCAAGTAAAACCCTCAATATTCTGTAATTGATTGGACACATTGCTTTATCACAGAATCTCTCAGCTGTAAATATCGACATGGGAATAGAAACGATGTTCGGTTGTTATCAGTATAATTTGTAACGAAAATTGATAGACTTCAAATTACATAGAAATTGGTATTTATCTTTTATTTAATGTTAACTTAGTATTACACACAAATTTATAAAGCAAATAAATCAAATAAAAATGAAGAAAATATGGATTTATTGAAGGAAATATTTTGAAATAGAAGAGAGTAATTAAATTCATTAAGAGAAATTACATTTACTTTAAGAAACCATAGAAATAAATTAAAAAAATAATATATCACCTCATAAAGTATCAATATTAACAATAAAGAATTTTTATGGCAAAGTATTAAAGAAATACGAGGTTCTGTAGCCATTTAAGATAGAAATAACACTTTATAAGTACCACTTCGGTTATATAGAATCTATATAATACAAAGTTATTTAGTTTGCTTCAACTTGATGTCTTCTATATAATTAATTTT